CCCCAAAACCCCAAAACCCCAAAACCCCTCAATGCATTCATCTAATTATTTAAGAAAGAGATTATAAAGAAATATTTATAGCTAGACACAAACATAATAGAGCATATGCGATAAAATAAGGCTGTGATCAATACTATTACATATATGGTACCTTAAATGGAACAATAATTATGATCAGCAACATGCTGATCTCCTCTTCTTTTTCACAGTTCCATATTACTCTAACTAAATGGAAGTAGATGTTCTTCCTCTTATCCCATTAGAATCACCACTAAGCTTGATATTCTATTGTCCTAAAATTTCATTGTTATGCTGCTACTCCTTTTCAATCTGATATGATTAGTGAGCTACAGTGAAAAATAGTTAATCCACATTTAAATTAGAACTTGCTGATGTTTCGAAATACTGAAGCAATCCTAGCCTCTTAGTCAGATTTTATGCATCGTCATGAGAAACTTGTCTCTAGTTCTCTAAATCTACCTTATTACCTACAAGAACTATATTATCTTTCGATTCAGGCGGGCAATTTAATCTGAATTCTTTTATTGATTACTCAATGCTATAAAAGCTCTCCCTTTTTGTTAGATCAAATACTGCCACGGCACCATGGCAATTTCTAAAGTAGGATTTTGTGAGTGACTTGAATTTCTCCTAACCAGTGGTATCCCAGATATTTACTCTCGCCATTGTATCGTGGATTTTAAGAGTTACAGTTTTCAAATCAACACCGACTGTGTTAAGGTACCCCTTATCAAAGCTATCATTGACAAACCTGAAAAGCAAACTAGTCTTGCCAGTGAAACTAGATCCTATCATAATTATTTTGAATACGTTTTCATACTCTTAGAATTAGTTTGTCAATGTCTTCATATATTACGATTTTTTCTTCTGGTGATGGACTTTTTCATTTGAATTTTATGGGATACTGCTTACCATTGATGATTCCAATTTTACTTTTGTTATGCCCAAAAAATTATTGGAATTATTTTGATAAGAGTTGGCTATATGCTCAGAATTAACCTCTGATTTGAAAAATGCATCCTCTATTGCTGGTTATATAAGAGATCTTGAGTTATTTGTTTGATCTAATCCAAGTTATTGAGAATCAGGTAGTTTCAAAGTCTGATGATTTTATTAGTTTTGATCAATCTCCTTATTTTTGTCATAGTACAAATCAAACGACACCGAGTTATCCATTTATTTTGCAAATATTTATAATTTAAATTACTTACATTAATAAGATTATGATTATGTTGCGGGGTTTTGGGGTTTTGGGGTTTTGGGG